AAATATTCATAAATACATCTTTTATTGAATACTATCTTATATTGTTTTTAAATCATTTTTTTTTAAACCTTTCCAGATAAAATCAGATATTTAAAATGAGTTCACCGAGTGCAAACAATTTCCATCGGTCATCGTCTAGGATTGACCGGCTGTCTAAGCCGTTGGCAAGATTGCAAAAACCGCTGGTTCGACCAAATGCCATTTTACGAAGTAAGCGAAACTTTTGCTAGTAAAACTATGACAATAATAATGTAGTATGAATTACAAATAAAAATTTTGCCAATTTTTTTTCGTATATACAATACACATCATAATATCATTATATCGTACATACTAATTCACAGAAGTTGATAACCAGATTCCACGATGTAAAAAGGGCCTTAATTTTTTCAAAAAAGAAATAAAAGTTGTAAATCCACCACCTCAACTTGCAAAAACCGAATCCGGTGTTACTCGTGCAGCTCTGAAATACGAGGCGTCAGAAAACATCAAGAGATTGGCCAAACACCGGCCAACATTGAGAGTAGTCGACGATAAAAAGAGCTTTTCAGTAGCACCATCGTCACTCAATTATAAACCGTCTCTTCGAATAGATCAACTGTCTAAGCCCCGGATCCGCGTAATGAAGAAATGATCATTGTTTAAAATTGTATTATTGTTATTAGTAGTATGAAATAGCTTGTTCTGGATCCCCCCTCCCGGCTTCAGCCTCCTAGTACCTTACCGTCCACCCAGTTTCTCCCTCCCCCTGCTCCCCCAGCCAATACTTTGGCTCTCTACTCACTCCCTCTGCCAATACTGTAGCTCCCCCAGACAACCTCAAACAACTAATATATATATATATATCTGCACACATATATTGTATAAACTTTGTAATATATAATCATAATAAATTAGTGAATTACATAATATAAGTTATTATTTTATATATATATATATATACCGCTATGTTATTGTGTACGGCGTATACTCACAATAATATTTTTATAAATTATATCATTGGAATGCGTTTGGCATATTGGCCATGAAATGGCGAGTATTCTTAAGAGCTATAGAAACAGACGTTGAGACTGCGGAATGTATTGTCAAAGCAGCATCTTGTTTACACAATTTTGTCACGAGGAAAAATAATGGAGAATATTCAGCCATTGAAAGTGAAGAGCAAGCTCAACCTGTACGAGCATTATTAGACACAGCATTAACCAATCGGGGGTCGAATGCTGCTGCCTTAGAAATCCGCGAACTTTTTATTGCTTACTTCAATAGATAACTTACTACACCATACACATAATATTTCAAAATTAAAAAAATATTATTATACTAAAATTATAATATGCTATACTCAATAAAGCTATTTACAAATTGTGTAATTATTATTATTATTATTATTATATTCTGTTAATATATTGATAGAAAAAATACTGTTGTCGTTGAAGTCTATTTAAAAGTAAAATAAATAGTGTATAGTGTGTATTTTGTTTTTGTATTATTATTATCAGAAATCATAATAATATAATAACCAATATAGTATTCCATATTTTTTTCCAAGTCTACTGTTACTGTAGATTGTAATTCAGTGTTATTATTATCGATAAACTTATTAATAAACTATTCGAATTCATTTTTACATAGGCAGTATATTTATACTATTTTGAGATTGAAAAATCAGATACTCGTATATACTGATTTTATTTATAGCGTATAGTAACATTAAAATTAAAATTAAATTATTGAATGCCGAAATATAAAATATGTCCGTTACAACTGGCAGCATAATATAAAAATAATATATTTAATAAAATAGTAGGACTAGTTGGTGCCTACTAATTAAACTTAATATATAATATATAATACTGTATTATTAATACATACTATAGTATACTAGTTTAGCACAGAACATGGATGATTTATTTGTGATACAATATAGTGAACAATTACAATAAATTAGATACTTAAATACTCGATACATAAAGACTATAAATATAGAAGTCTATTTTATCAAATACACTGTATTACACTGTATATACACGGTATGTACTTACCGGTTATACCCAGTTCTTCGGATATTTTATTCCATGCTTCGGCTTTTTTTCTAAATTTTTATAATTTTCATGAGATGTGTCGAATAAGTACACATACTTTCTTACTTGCTCGATGAGCATTTCAGTTTCTTCAGCCATTTTAAAAATCTAATATAATTACTTTATAACAGAATATAAAAAAACCAATAAATATTTACAACAGATCGACAGCTGCCCGCGCGGAATTTCGTAATTTTGTACAACGGTATCGCCTGTCGTTGCGATCTAAATTGTACCGCTGCGACAGACCACGTTCTGTGTGCCCGAGCCTTAAGTATCTTTCAATTCCCTCGTATTACCGCACGGTTAGCAAAAATATGTTTGTGTCCCGTATAAGTATAACTCAGTGTAATCTCAACTCAGTGTATTGTACAAAATATTTTTTATACATATCTAAATTACAAACCCAATAATAGATAGTAAGTTATCTATAAAATATCTATGTCCTATTAATTATATTCACATACATATTAAAAGGATTAATTTAAAATATATTCATTACATATAACTTTTAAATGGTACTTTCTATTGATATAGTATTTCTTAAGATTATTTGAGTCTATTGAAAACATTAACTAAATACATTAAATTATAATCCATTAAAAAACTTAAAATTCAAAAAAGGGCATGTCTCGAAATTAATATCCATAAGATGGTTTCCATTCCTATAGGTTTATACGTTCCTGAAACGCAAACATTGTACTTATGATTGTTCCCATGATATCTCAGAGCATTTTTTAAGGCTATCTTTAGCCTGACGATATTGTGGTCAATACTCAACAAGTAGTTTATAACTATAAGTATAGAATATAAATACTAAATAGACAAATTTATGATTACAAATAGTGTAATATTCAACCTGTATCATACGTCATATAATTCCATAGTATTAAACATAAAGGTTTAGGTATTGGGTGTTAATTATACAATTTTATAATTAAAGTATTTTTTACGTTTGAATGACAATATTATTATTAATCGACATTCCGCGTGCTATTTGCATAAATAACACTCAATAATCACAGAGCATACAGATATTCAGGATTATTAATTTTAACTCAAATCAGTCAATTTAATGTGTCTTTTAAACATTCTAAACGTACGAAAATATAATATGTGAAAGTCTCGAAAAGCTAACATGTATATAGGTACAATACAGTATACAAGGCCTCATTAATCCGAACACAGGCTATATAATCCAAAAGACACGGTAATCTGAACGGACTTGGAAATTTCCGCATCACTATACTAATACACACGCGTGTATCATAATTCATAATAATTATGCAATAATAAATTAAAATATTAGCTGGCTGTATATACATAATTATAATGATTTTGATTGTATTAATTGTGTTTTTCAACAACGCATTTTGTGAATTCATACCGTAGTAAGATAAAGATTGATTTCAAAATTTAAATTGCAAGAAAATTAATTTTTTTTTCAAGTTAAAAGTAATCCGAACAAATCGTCAATCCGAATGATCCCTTTTCCCAATCTTTTTCGGATTAACGAGACCCTACTGTATACTTTTATATCTATTACTTATATGACCAAGGCCTAACGGGTACCAAGTGCCTATCTAAAATAACTATAAGCATAACTTGTAGTGACGAGCTGAGATAACGAGACCCCGTGGTTTTTATTTATTTTTGTGTATTAGCAATATTAGCATATTTTTTAATTTAAATATTAATAAATATTTACTTGTCGTGATAATATATATTTTTACCCAATCACCTATCAGCTATAGATATTATGGTGTTGCTTTCAAATGTATTATACCGACTCATCCTTTTTCGTGTGCATTGGTTATTCGACTACAGTTATCGTCAGCCATCATAAAATAAATTTTACAAAATAACTTTCATTTTAATATGTAAAGAAAAAATTATTTTTACCAGGATCATATTGGTCGTAATAAAATATTACACGTAGGTATTATACACAGCAGCTTATTATTTAAATAATTATCAATATTACAAAACAATAAACGCTAACGATAATAATACTCGTAAGTGTAATTAATGGTCGTTGTATAAAATATAAAATAATATTGAATAATAACTTTCTCTATTATTGAAAAACTGTATACGTGGAAATTTGATGGAATTAAATCGAAATAGATACAATATTATATTTCAAAAAATAATTACTTAAAACTATAAAACGGGCACAGTACAGAAGTAAAAATTTTCTTTAAACCAAAAAAAAAAGAAAGATAAACGGCTAAACGGGTTTAAAAGCCGATTAGTACAATGAACGTATTGGTTGCTGGCTAGTAATAAACAATTCTGTACTGTCGCTAAGGAGATTTTCAATCCTCTCGTAGTCGAATAATATTCTAGTTCATTAGCGATTCTGATTCTAAACAAAATTCTACCATTTCCTTACGCACATTATATATTCAATAGAAACTTAATAATTACTAAACATGTCCGAACTTACCAATGGTATTAATGCTGTATTGCTGTTTGTAAGAACATTATTGAAGACCTCTTAGACAACATAATATTTCATACTATTGCAACTGAAGAATCGATGGACGAAATTGTGGAAAACGTGATCGACGAATTAATAACGCTTGTGTGTAGCGACGAAGAGCCGACGAAGGAAATAATTGCGCAGTTGGTCGAGAGACCTATTCTCGAACAAGGAACGTCTGCCGTAATTTTCTGTGGTGGACCGGACGGTGACGTGATCGCGGCCAAAGGATTGGATTTACGGAATTCGTTTGGGGTACTGGTCGGCTGGCTTGAACCGGGTGCCACACTACCGAAACCCGCTCCTCGCCGTCGGCGTTTTGCAGCGGCTTGAAGAAGCTTTAAGAGGATTTTTCGGTGTTGCACCCGACCGCGACGTGACTAGCATCCGCAGTCTCCTAACTCTCCCTCCTCCCCACTTTGACCAAAAAAATTGGACAGGATGACGACGGTGAAAGGATGTTCAATAGCCAATATTTATTGGTATTTATTATATACTTATTTATTTGTATTTATTTTGAATTGTTTCAAAAAATGTTTGTTGTTAATAAAAATTAATAAAATTTAAAGTTGTTTACTAAAAAAAAAAAATTGTACTTTTTATCGTAGTATCGATTATTATAAATTATTACAAAATAAACAACTTGGTATCGTGAGATAATTAAAATATTATACACTAAAACGTAATGAATAATTCAAAAATCGAAATAAAACAATATTATATAATTTGATAAAATAGAAATAGATCACAGTTTCAGATAGAACTACATGGTTTGAACTTTGAATAAAATATAAAATGTATATATATATAAAAAAGTACTTGCATTCAAGAAATAAAACTATATCATAACATGAAGTTTTTTTGAAGTAGTTTTATTCGTTTTAATACTTTATTACATAACATAGTAAATAAACAATTTATTTCCTTTAAGTAATAAAATTGTATGTAATGAGATTATAATATCGCTGTTGTTACTTGTTGTACACTCATTGCACATTTATTATTATTTTTATTCGAAAACTATAATTAAAGAATAAAAATGAAAATTATTATCATTACGCAGTACCTATACTTCTTTACAGTTTGTGTACAATATTTTTAAGTATAGACTTTTTCTGTATGTGTATTGTATTTACTTACATGTTTATAATATGTTATATGGTATTATATTATATTATTATAAATTATAATATTATTGATTTCAGCTATGTTTTTAAAATATCATTACTGAATTTTGTAACCAAAACGAAAACTTTACATTTCCGATTGTA